TTTCATATGTTGCTGATAAAGCTATAAAAATATTTTTTTAATCGTATCTTATATTATATTTATTTCAAAATTGATTTTCCCCAATTTATTTCTTAGTTTATTTTAACTGTTTTTTTTCTATTTTTATTTTAATGTTCAAATAAACATATATCGTTTTAAGTGAAAGGAGTATAACATAACAAAGCTAGAGAGAGCAAAATCTAGTAGTTGCAAGGAAAGTATCGGTAAATAATATTATCTTTTCTTTCATGAAAGCCATCTGTTTTCGCGCTTTATCAGGCAAAGAAAGTAAATATTTTACGCAGACAAAAGAAACAAATAAACTATTGTTTTCTTTTATTTCTTTCACAATACAATCGGAGACATTATTAATTGCAGTCCGATAAACTTACAGCTCGGTGATCAAATTTCTTTGCAATATTTTAGAAATCCTTTAGTATCCTTTTGCCTGCACTGTTAATAATATAACTTATTCACTCTTCTTATTTTTTAAAGATAGAAAAGATTAGTTAAATGTGTTATAAAGTATCTTGAAACTACTTTGGGTGATATACTTAATTGTATACGCTGTGGAATTAAAAAATCTTATTTGAAAATAGATGTAAAAAAAGCATACCCGTGTCTCGGCACTGACTTTGAAAAGGACCTCGCACAAACCTTATGGAAATTGAATTTCGGTCGAATTGATTAAAAATTTGATATATTGTAGATCTTGTTGTCCTGATAAAAAGTCTCCACAGGCACGACTCTTACGACAATGAACCGTTTGATCTCTACGGGGCGTCATTTTTCGAAAGGGGTTAATACTACAATATCTTATTTTCAACGAGTACGGTGCATTCCTACGTCATTATTTGAATTTTCTATTTATATTTTTAAGTAAAAAGTTATAAAGATAATATTGACTTGATTGCTTCCCACAAATCGGAATTTTTTATTATTGTGAGTTCCCTCGCCTCTCACAAATCAGGGTGCTTGATTATTGTACAACGAGTACGTCTTCTTACAATTTTTTTTTAAACATAATTAAAACTTAAGAAACAACCGCATATATGAATAGGATGATAGAGAGCGCCAACACGGTCAAAGTTAGATGTTTCGAATAATGCAATATGTATTCTTTATTAAATCAATTTACTTCAGATATGATTGCGCGCCGATCATTTTTCGGACTTTTAATACGATCAGTCTGAAACGCTAATAATCCCCCTTAAAATTAGAAAAACCGTAAATAACTTTTTTTTACTTAAAAATATACATAGAAAGTGCAAATAATAACGTAGGAATGCACCGTATTCGCTGGAAATAAAGTATTAGTCCATTTTTAAAAATAACGCCTCGGTCGCCTAGAAGTCAAATGGTTCATTATAGGAGGTTGTGCCCGTGAAGACTTTTTATCAGGACGACAAGATCTACAACATATCAAATTTTCGGCCAATTCGACCGAAATTCAATATCCATAAGGTTTGTGCGGGATCCTTTTTCACTTTTCTATAAACATTAAATATTTTTTTAGAAATAAATTGACTAGAACATAATTGTTTCTAGTTTAAAAAAAAACTATAATAATTTTATAATAAAACAGCTGAATAATCAAAGTTGCGCTAAAACATTAATTCACTTTCTTTTAACTCACAATTAAAATTTATAGAAAGTACTTCTCTCTTTAGAGAAAAGTATCAATCAAAAAAGGAAAAGAATAAAAACACGATGTTTCAAATATGTTGATACAGTTGAAAAGGAAGACAATAAAAAATAGTACTTTTATGGTGCATTCGAGAAGACGCTATTAGCGCTATATTTGTGTCATTCTATCTTCATCGCTAATTAGACGCAAAATAAGGATATAGAATGACACAAATAGCGCTAATAGAGTTTCCCCGAATGCATCTTTAGTATAGTATCTATTCATGGTAGTATTTCGTAGCAGTTTTTCGTAATAGTTTTGACTTATAATTTCACAATTGCACCCTTCTCCTTCAGTTTTCCTTGTTATGGACACCGAGATATTGTTAATAAAGACCGTCAATCCTAAGTAAATTTTTGTTAACTATCAAAAAGATTCTTATGGCCCAGAGATAATTGGAGAGCGTTGATATGAATGCATCCAGAATTAGCGACGACCATTCAGTGAGCGCTCAGTGAGCAGTCGTTTCTGGATGCACACCTATGTCAATGCTCTCCAGGTTGTGTTCCGATACCTATGTCGAAAATTTTCTTTTTAGTTACAAGGTTGGTAGCGCTGTAACTAACATAGCTGTATTCCGTAAGAGATCAGCTAACACCGTAGTTTGCATTAGAAACAAATTTGTATTTAGGTTATTTCTTTATTAGTAAAATAAAAAAAACATGCCCTACATATAAGTATATATCATAAAAATCGCTCGTAAGCGATTAGTACACATTTTCGTCAACAGAGAGCTGCGGTGAAGAGCATTTACTCGTAAACAAGAATCATCTGGGAGAGAATATAAGGAGCGCAAAATTTTGCCAATAAAGGCTGCCGAAGCTTCGTTCATATTAGCAAGCAATCATCTTGCTGCGGAGAATGGAGAGCCACACAGCCCGGCCCAACAATAAAGGCTGTCAGAGTGTCTGTCAAACAAGGATAAAATGATACCTCATGCGCATTAGGCTAGGTTCACAACCTTGCTTTAAGAGGCCGTAACCCCGGATCTACAATAGAGTTTTAAGCCTTAAGCCCATTCTACAATTGCGTAAGCGCAGTTGTAAGTGGTTGTAGTTTGTAATTGTAAGAATTAACCTATCACAGTCAAATATGAGGAGAATATTCGACTGATTAGTCAATTCTTACAACTACAACCACTTACAACTGCGCTTACGCAATTGTAGAATGGGCTTTAAGCCATAAGAAATGGACGAATCATAGTCGATTATTCCCCTCGAATTCGATTATAATTGGTCAATTTCTTACGACTTAAGGCTTAAAACACCTATCGTAGATCCGGATTAAGGCCTAAAAGCATAAGTTCTGTGGTTGATATGTCATTTACAACTTACAGCTTACGGCTTACGGCTTCTTAAAGCAAGGTTGTGGACTTAGCCTTACGCGTACAACGGAACGCAGTTAAAGTGAGCTCCAAAATTGGGCTTTAAAGTGAAAGTATATATGGAATGTTCTCCGCAGAAAATTTTCTTTAAAATGTGATTCAGGCACGATCGGACCTGGAATTTCTAGAAAAATTAAAATTTTGCGGAATATATGGAACATTCTCGACATATGTAACGACATACGTATAAATGAAGTTTTTTGGACCGATATTTGAATGTTGCTTCTACATTCTGTAAATATTTTGCGATATTCCGGAGTACTCTGAGTTTTTTTTAGGATTTTAGGAATCTTATGAATATTTCAGGGATATTTAGCGTTAGCAGGGGAAACACGTGGAAAGAAACGTGATTGTCGATAAAATTGTATAAAGAAGAAAAAAGGCACGAGATAGGTAAAAAGTAAGAGACAGGAAGTAAAGAACATACTAGGTGCATCGAGAAGCACGACCGCTCAGTGAGCTCTCTTGTACCTATTTGGTCTATATTTTTAGATCTAATGGAATATGCCAATCAGATGCAAAAGCTCACTGAGCGCTCAGTGAGCGGTCGTGCTTCTGGATGCCCTCATTGTAGATTAAGTTCAACTCCCGTAAGAATGTCGGTCTCTAATAGCCTCGTCGATGTGATGGAATTTACACGACTCTTTTTTAAAATTCGAATCGCGCGCCACAATGCAAATGATGGAAAATCGCGAGAGTAGAGCGCTGAAAAGCGCGACTACAGCGCCATCATCGATACTCGATAGAACGCCGCTCTTGGCTCTCTCGGCAAGGGGCAGGGCGGGGTGTCGCTGACGTCACATTCGGGAACGTCCGCCGGCGCTCGACTGGCCCGATCTCGCCCGAACGGGTCAATGTCTGAGGAGGAGGCATCGAAAAATCCAATGGTCGGTGTGGTGTTGCCGTGCTGCTGCTCGACGACGACGAGGCAGAGAGGTCGTCGCTGAATCGCCGTGTAATCGTTCGACATTATCGCCGCCGTGTGATCGCCGCGGACGCGTGATTCTTTTTTTCCGCGTTCGATATTACCCACCGCGTCCACCGCGTCGTCGCGACATACTGAGGAAGCTGCTGCGAGAACTGCCCTGCGTCGGCCTGTCCGGTGCCCGCGACACCCAACGATAGTGAGAAAGGGATAGAGAAAGAAAGAAAGAGGGACACAGTGCCGATTGAACACGGGCGTTGAACGCGAGAACGACGACGAGGAACAGCGGCGACGGCGACGACGACCTCCTGTCGAGTAAGAGTGCAGTAGTCGTTCTTCTCGCTCCGTAATTTCGTACTACCCGACTCGCACCGCGCGCGGCGAAATGCAGCAGTACGGAAATCTGTCAGACATCAGTGACGAGGAGTAGAGTGAAATAGAGTAACGCAAGAATCGGAGTAAAACTAGCAAGTGACGAGACTATAACGGAGAGAGAGAGAGAGAGAAAGAGAAAGAGAGAAAGAGAAAGAGAAAAAGACAGTGAAGAAGAAAAGTATAGTGCGAGAGACAGAAAAAGAGAGAACGAGAGAGGAGAGAGAAAGACGGAACGAGGCGCGACGACGCGCGCGCGCGAGCGAGAGAGAGAGAGAACATCGGAGTAGCGAGTGTGGAGCGAAGATAGCCGCTCGGTGGGAGATCAACGCGACGTTGGCCGTGGAAGTAAGAATTCACGCCGCGCGTCGTCGTCGGAGTACCGCGCGGTGGCGCGCCGCTACGTAATACGTCGGCGACCGACGACGACGGAGAGAGCCGAGGCGCGGGATCGCGAGGAAGCAGCCGCGTTTTATAGGAGCCGAGTAATACGAGCCGTCCCGAAAACGTCGGTCTGTCGCCGCCACGACGTTGGCACGCACCCCTCGTCGCTCTCGCTAGCGGCGCTCCGCCGCAGCGTCACCCTCCCCCCGCTACCG